TGTATAGAGTGTGTAGTAGTATATGGGTGTGTAGAGTGTGTAGTAGTATATGGGTGTGTATAGTGTGTGGTAGTATATGGGTGTGTAGAGTGTGTGGTAGTATATGGGTGTGTAGAGTGTGTGGTAGTATATGGGTGTGTATAGTGTGTAGTAGTATATGGGTGTGTAGAGTGTGTAGTAGTATATGGGTGTGTAGAGTGTGGAGCATGTGTGTGCTGTGGTTGGTCTGTGAATGTTGCAGTGTGTGTGAGTCGCACGAGTGGCTGTGATTGCCACTCATGCAATCACTACACCTGTTATCTAATAACAACCCACACTATCACGTTGTCATTAGCTTCGAGTGAGGGTTTAATGTATAGGGTATAGGGCTTAGGGTTTATGTCGTTGTCATGTGCGTCGTTGTTGTGCGGTGGCTTTAAGTTTTAGGGGTATTTTAGCAGTCTCATTTTTTGTTCCTATTGAGACTTGCGTTACGTTTACTGTTTTTCATTGATGAACAAGGAGGGGTTCAGGGTTTAGGTTTTAGGGAAGGTGATTGCCCTTTCAACTGATGTTCTCCAACTGTGCCCGATGCAATCGAGCTGTGTCAGATTTCATATACGAGGAGACGTGTGTGTCTACGATAGTGAAACATACACTTAGCAATCGACTTCAGGGTTTTAGGGTTTTAGAAGCAATCGACGGTAAGGTTCTAGGGTTGTAAACAATCGACTGGTGTGGCGATACAATGACTAGATTCTGCGGCATGTGTTGTGTTGAATGAACAGCTGCACGCACACTGGTGCGTTCTAAGAGGCACAGACAGTTGCGATGTTGCAACTGCGAGTAACATTAGGGTTTTAGAGTTTAGCAAACGTGGTTGGACTGTTGTTGCTGACTCACCTTTTGTTTAGAGTCATAGCTGCTCTCGGCTATTTTAGGGTTGAGCAATGAATGCACAGCCACAGAGATCTTCTTGTCGCCCAACTGCAGAGGGGCAAATAAACAGCATTAGAAAATAGAATGATTCCGGGGTTGTAAGGTTTATAGGGTTTAGGCCTAGGTAGTAATGGTAGCACCCAACGCACTCGTCTGTACTGTTTCGCTCTGTTGGTATAAACCACAACAGAACAAAGCGCAAAGCTTTGCAGTTGATTTGCACGCCCCAAACCCTAAAACCCTGATGACTAGCGGACACGGAAGTACACCAAACAACACAGACCCAACGCATAACTATCTCTATCTGCGCTTCGCTTTCGCGTTCAAGTAACACTATTCACTACGAAAACAGGTTGAGTTTCACATCCAATGCAATCAATCGATTTCGGCCTGTTTTTTTACTCTCTACAACCCAAAATATTTATAAACCCCTCTATATGTAATTTCCGTTTTTTGTTCTTACTCTCAAAAACATTTTGGCCACACTTTGGAAAAGGTTTTCCGCTGGTCGGCCTAATCTCGTGATTCCCTTGTATGTAAATAATAACTACATATATCAAATTGTTGTAAAAGTTTTGGTCTCGTGTCAAATCTGTCGTAAACTCGTGACTCAATGAGTATTTTGTTGGTTTTGGTTTTGCTACGAGTTTTGAAACGCCGATTTGAAACTCGTTCCTCATAAAGAAACTCGGTGCCAAACCTCATTCAATTTCCAAACTCGATCAAAACTTTTCGAACACTTTTAATAACTGTACATTAAACCCACTGTGTGGCGCTGCACTTACTAGCACGTCCTGGATGATGTGGACGCCGTTGATGGTGATGTCTTTGTGGTTGGCTGCGGCGGAGAACTTGACGATGATGGGTTCCCCCACATCATGTACTAATTTGGACAGACTCACCTGTGTGTGTTGTGAACTGCAAGGCACAAGACCAGAATGTGAGCCAATTCGCCAGTCTAAAAGCCTAGAGCCAAAACCTTAAACCCTAAAACTTAAAACCCTAAAGCAAGCCCGACATATATCCGTTGAGCAGAATGAGAGAACAATGACCAGTAGCTGTAATGAAACGGCTCATCAAAACAACCAAACACACCAACGACAACAGCAGGTAACGAAGACTAGACTAGTCCACAACAAGACAACCAAACACACCAACGACAACAGCAGGTAACGAAGACTAGAATAGTCCAAAACAAGACAACCAAACACACCAACGACAACAGCAGGTAACGAAGACTAGAATAGTCCAAAACAAGACAACCAAACACACCAACGACAACAGCAGGTAACGAAGACTAGACTAGTCCACAACAAGGTTAAGCAACAACAGCGCAAGTGACTGCATAACGCAACACACACACACAGTGCCACACACTCGCCCACCCAGACCACAGCACCAACACTCAGGCCACTCATTCCCATTCATTGGCAGTAGATACACAACACCCATCACCTACGACTATATACGTAATCACGTACGACTATATATGTAACCACGTACGACTATATACATAACCACGTACGACTATATACGTAATGGATGAATACAGTTAGAGTGTCACCATTGCACTGAGAATATAACTATCAAATACGCAACAGCACAAGTGACACTGCCACAGGACAATCGCTTGCACTGCATCTGACTCACTAACACACACTACACGTGACAGACAAACATACTCACTAACACACACTGCATGTGACAGACAAACAGACCCACTAACACACACTACACATGACAGACAAACAGACTCACTAACACAAACTACATGTGACAGACAAACAGACTCACTAACACACACTACACGTGACAGACAAACAGAACCACTAACACACACTACATGTGACAGACAAACAGACTCACTAACACACACTACACGTGACAGACAAAAAGACAAAACAACTGAAAGTACACGCATTCTCACACACAGGCCACAGCCACTCACCTCCACCAGCCCTTACGCTCAGTGAAAACGCGCGGGTGAATACTTCTCAGCGGATGGTACACACAGCCCATCCGAAAGTTACCCTGTTTACCAGAAGACCTGTACATGGCAACGGTATGTGGGATATGATGAGAATGCACGGCACTTACATATATATATATATATATATATATAATACCTGTGTGTTTCTCTAAGTCTACAACTTATGCAGGGTATGAGATGATTGTATTGAAGCAACTGGTTTGCAGACAACTGAATATGAGTCGTAGCGACGCATTCAATGTACATCTATTGCCAATTCCCAATGGGACCAATCGATTGTGTGACAATTATACTCAGTACAGACAAACGATCGTGGTACATTGGATAGGTATTATCCGCTCCACACACAAGGCACACAGGGGATAGG